GCAGAAATAGAAGTATAATGATGTACACCTGAAATTTATACAATGTTATAAACCAATGTTACTGCAATAAACAAAAAATTAAAAAAAAATAAGATATCTAAAAAATCTCCAATTTTAGAAATTAAACATCATACTTCTGAATAACTCATGTCAAAGAAGAAATCACAAGGAAAGTTAGAAAAAATATTTTTACCTGAATGATCATAAAAATCCAGTTATTAAATTATTATTCTTAAATAATAATAATTAAATTATTATTCTCTCTAACACAGTGCTTAGAGAGAAATTGACAGCTTTAAATGCTTATAGTTGAAAACAGGAAAAGGATAAAATCAATTATCTAAGATTTGACCCTAAGAACCTTGAAAAAGAAGAGTAAATTAAACCCAAAGTAAATAAAAGGAAGCAAATAATTAAACTAAAAGAAACTAATGAAATAGAAAATAGTCAGACAATAGAAAATATAACAGTAAATTTTTCTGTACTCTGTGCACAAAACTTAATTTCAGATGAATTCTATATTTAAATATTTATCCAGAACCATAAAGGCTTTAGAAGAAAAAATTAGGAGAGTATATATGGGGATAAAAATCAGAAAGTAGTTGCTTCCAGGGCAGAGTGTGGTGGAGGCAGGGGTGGGATTTGACTGGAAAGGGGCAGGAAAGAACTTTCTGGGGTGAAGTAAATGTTTTATATCTTGTTTTGGATGGTGGTTACATGGGTGCCATAATTGCCAAGGTCCATTGAACTAAACACTTAAGATCTGGACATTTTAATCCTTGTAAATTACATTTCAATTTTTTTTTTTTTTTGTGAGGAAGATCAGCCCTGAGCTAACATCCATGCTAATCCTCCTCTTTTTGCTGAGGAAGACCGGCTCTGAGCTAACATCTATTGCCAATCCTCCTCCTTTTTTTCCCCAAAGCCCCAGTAGATAGTTGTATGTCATAGCTGCACATCCTTCTAGTTGCTGTATATGGGACGCGGCCTCAGCATGGCCGGAAATGCGGTGTGTCGGTGTGCACCTGGGATATAAAGCTAGGTCGCCAACAGCGGATCCTGCGCTCTTAACTGCTAAGCCATGGGGCCTGACCCCCTACACTTCACTTTTTAAAAGTGGAGGAAAGACAGTATCTTGAGGAGCTTATGGTGGTGGTGTTTGGGCACCTCTGGGGCATAGGCTTCAGAAGCATCCACAGCTTCGTCAGCTCAGGAGTCTGCTGAGAGTGGTTTTGCAACTAAAATGTGGGGTGAGCACAAAGGCCCATAACAAGGCTCTTGTGGCCACAACTACAGATCCCTACTCTCGTTACTCAGGCCCTAGAGCTAGGTGGTTATCACTAGATAGCCTCCCTGCAAGGAACCCAGAGTTCTCCAGAGGGAAATTGAAATTGAGGTTCTAGGTATCTTGGGTGGGTAAGAAAGTCACTCCCCATAAAACTTAATGACTGGAGCTGCCACCATTGTAAATTTCTAAACTTTGCAAGACGGCAGCAAAATTTCAAACAACTCTGAGAGGAGACAATGGGCTAAAGTGGATTTTCTCCCCAGATGTATTTACTGCACAAGGCAAAAATTCACATTGCGGTGGGAGATTTCTCCTGGTCTAGTTTAAGTTCACAGACTGTGGATCCCAGACAGCTGGCACCAACTGCCTGGTGTCCTATTGAGGCTCAAACCAAGAGTCTTTAATCACATTGTGACCTTGAAGCTGGCTCTTTTGTCCTGTGCCTTGGAGGAATGAGAGATATAAGCTAAAGGTTACCACTCTTCTGGGAAGAGGAATGTTGGAGGAGGAGCAAGGGTGAAGGTGAGGAGGCTGAGTCAGAAGGACAGCAGCACATAAAGCTCCAGTTCTGCCTTTGGGAGATAAGGAGACCAGAACCCAGGCTCTTTCATCTGGCTTTTAACACTAGCAGGTTAGAGCTTCTACTCTGGGGCTGTGACATGCGATTTTTGCAAAACTGCAGTGAAGGGAACAAAATGGGTTTTTGTGAGCCTGTAACTACTTGACCTCTCTTTTTACTCCCTCCAGGGTCACTCTCTAACCCAACCTGCTCCCCTGTGTTTTCCGGTTCCTGGTGAGCATTTCTTGTTACTCAGCTTTGGCCATGGCTGGATGGAGCTGCCTTGTGACGGGAGCAGGAGGGTTTCTGGGTCAGAGGATCATCCGCTTGTTGGTGGAGGAGAAGGAGGTACAGGAGATCAGAGCACTGGATAAAGTCTTCAGACCAGAATTTCGGGAGGAATTTTCTAGTAAGTGAACTCAAGTCATAGGTGTGTGGCTCCATTCTAAACCCTGCTTAGGTGTGTGTGTGGGTGGGGGAGTTCTTGTCTAGCAAATTAAAGAATGTTGAAGCCAAATCAAAGTTAATCCCAAGTCCAAAGTCATCTGAAAGGAAATCACAGATCGTGGGTATAAAAGACACTGGGTGGGTGTCTGGAGAATGGATTCTGGCCCTGATCCAGAACTAGAGAGGGTGGCCATAGGCCAGCCACTTCAGCCTCTAGGCCTCTTTTGTTCTCATCTAGAAAATCACATACAGGTCAACAACTCCCTTGTCAACAACTCTTTGATGTTCCGAAGATTTTTTTTTTGGTGAAGAAGATCAGCCCTGAGCTAACATCCGATGCCAATCCTCCTCTTTTTTTTGCTGAGGAAGATTGGCCCTGGGCTAACATCCGTGCCCATCTTCCTCTACTTTATATGGGACGCCACAACAGCATGGCTTGACAAGCAGTGCGTCGGTGCGCGCCGGGGATCTGAACCTGCGAACCCCGGGCCGCCGAAGCGGAGCGCATGCACTTCACCGCTGCGCCACCGGGCCAGCCCGTTCTGAAGATTTTTGACTTGGCAGTTGCTGTGCAACATTTGCAAAGGACAGCAAGCGCCATTAACCTGGAGACCCCGCCAGCAGGTCCCTGCCGCTCTTGATTGCCCTGGTCTTTTTAATGGCTTCATTTATCCTCTCCAGTGAAGGTGAAATAAAAGGAATAGAAGGTGAAACTGAGCGAATATGTGTATGTGTGTGTGTGAGAGAGAGAGAGAGAGAATTAGAGGGAGAGAGAGAGAGAGAATAGGACAGAGAGAGGGGAGAGTGGAGAGAGCACATGAGTGCACAGGGTGAGAGCCAGAGACAGAGAGGCAGCAAGAGCGCAGACATGCCTCACGTGGAGTCCCCGTACATCTCTTTTTACCATTTGTCTCTGTTCCTCATCAAGGAAGGTGACTGCAGAATTTGCTATAGTAGCTCAGCGCTCTTTTCCCAGGTTTCTGCCCTGGTGCAAATGCAAAAGCTGGATTTATGGTGTATTTTCCAATTTGTTTCACTCCCAGATCCTCAAAATAACCCTGCAAGGAAGGTAGGAAAGGTGTCTCACCCATCAGGACACTGAGGAAATCGGGGTCCCCATAGGTAAAGCGACTTGCCAAGGCGCTCTGATTAATGGGTAGCAGAGCTCAGACTAGAGCCCCATCACAGAGGCCCCAATCCCATGGCCCTAGGGCTGACTCTTGGCAAAGTGAAACTTCATTCTCTCCCATTTCTCCCCTGTGTGCCCCCAAACCAATTCCCTGTCCCCCTCCCCAGCCCTGGTGGACGGGTGTCTACATGCAAGCCCTGGCTGCCCAGAAGACCCTTCCTCCCCATACAGAGGCCCCTCACCCACTCTCCTGGACTGTGCCCATCACTCTGCTCTTGCTTCCTCTTTTCTGACCTCTTCAAACACCCTATTTCCTCTAACCCCTGCTTCTATAGTGTCTCTGATAAACAAATTCACAAATGATCAGCATCAACTGTTTGCAATCCTTACCTCCCAGCGATATACACAATCTGATAGCTGATGCCCCGAAAGGGCGGTGCTCAACCTACAGGAACAGTTCCCCAATGCGACAAGTCAGGTGGTGTCATGGATGGGCAGGGCTCTCTATAAGGATCATATAGAGAATCCCAGCAGCGTTCTTTCTGTGCCTAGCACTGTGGTAAGTGTTTATGCGTGTCGACTCATTTGCTCCTCATAACAACCCTACGGGATAGGTGATATTATCCTCCTTTGTTTAAAGATGAAAATAGTCTCAAAGAGGCTGTCTTAGTCCATTCAGGCTGCTATAACAAAATATCACAGGCTAGGTAGCTTAAAAACATCGGAAATTAATTTTTCACAGTTCTGTGGTTGGAAATCCAGTCAAGGCAGGGTCATGGTCTGGTGAGAGCATTCTTCCTGGTTCATCTCCTGTGCCTTCACACTGTGTCCTCCCATGGTGGAGGGCGCGAGGGATCTACCACAGCAGAAGTTAATTAACTTGCTCAAGGTCCCAGGGCTAGAAAATGGCAAAGCTGGATTTGAACCCAGGCAGTCCAGCTCCAGCATCTGTGCTCTTAACTACTCGTTTGTCTAGAAGCTTCTCTCTGAACCTCCCTCCAACGCACGCCACATAAGCAACTGCATATTCAGCCTAGGGAAGACTCTTGCCAAGTCCACAGAGCCACTGTGGTGGCTCCACTCCCCAGCCATCCACAGTGCCCTCTGCTGGTCTCTCTTGCATCCCTGCAGACAAATGGAGTAAGTCCTCTGCTCTCTTGGCTTTGGACCTCTATCCGCTGGACATATCCATTCCTTTGAGCCAGTCTGTCTGAACTTAGCTGCAAAGGAGAGGCTGGGGTGGGGTGGGGGGGTGGAGTAGAGGCAGGGACACAATCACAAAATTTTACTCTCAGGCTGATTCCCACCCGCTTCTCCCCTGCCTTTCTCTCACTTCAGAGCCTGCTTGCAGCAGCCTGACAGTGGGAAGGGGCTGGGGGCAGAGCAAACTGGCAGAGGCTTAGGGAGAGCAGATGGTTCTTCCAAGATGTAACCCAGGAAGAAAATTCTCTAGCCCTGAATTTTTCACTCTGAATTTCTCTCTCACTGTTCTCTGGCCTCCACTGCCAATTTCAGTTAAGTTGACTTATCCTTCCTCTGCCTCAGGAAAGAATAGTGCCAGTCCTGTGCCTTGGTGACAGGGGAGTGTGAGCAAGTTTCAAAGGCAGAGGGCAGGCCTGAGCCTTCGGTATAAGTGTGACTGAGACCTGCCTCTTAACCACTCTGAGCCTCAGTTTCCTCACCTGTAAAATGGAAAGCAGAATACCCATCTCGTGAGAGAGCTGTGACAGGAAATCAGAAATCCGTGAAGTTTGTGTGCAAAGTAGAAAGCACAAAATAAGTGTAGGGTATTTGTCCGAACTGCATGTAGCTCAGCATTTATTCCATGGGCTCATTTGAGGTGATGAGCTTACTGGCAGTGCCACCTCCTGTGGACTTCAAAGGAGCCGAAGACCCTGACGCTGTATCCGTTGTCCTAGGCTAGATGGCTGGAATGTTAGTCCGTGGGTGGCTGACTCATTATCAGCACTGATAGCTGCTTTTGATGATATCTATTCAGAGCTTTTTCAGTTAAATCCACCATTTGGGCCCATTCTAAATTCCTTGTTAATGGCTCCACTATCCTCCTGCTCACCCAAGTGGGAAAAACTCAGGCTGACTGTGACTCTTCCACAGCCGCTCAGCCCATCTCCAGTAAGAACCAGGACCTGTCAAAGTAAGGTCTGAAACCTCAACCCTTGTGTATCTCTCCCCTTCTCTGCTCCCACTGCGGGAACCCTGGTTCCGGTCCACCTTGTCTGAACTTTGGGGTACGGACATTCTGATTAATCTCCTGATGGTCTTGCTTTCTCCTATATCCCCCACACAAATCCATCTTATATACTATGGCCAGGGTTAGCTTCCTATCCCACAACTCTGTTGACATTTCTTCTCTTATTCCAAACCCATACATGAGTCCTCATTCCCTACAGAATTAAATTCAAATTCTTTCCTCTTATATCCGCTCACCACAATCACCCTACTCTCCTTAATGAATTTTATGAACTTCCCATGAGTCCCTTTAACAGTTTTGTGTTCCAGGCACACTTGACTCCTAACTGCTCAAATTCTTTTTTGGGAACAAGATGGGGTGGAAACAGATGTTTGCTCTTCCCCAATAAACGCTACACATTCCGATTTCTGTAGCTTTGTTTACTTGTTCCTTTCATGGAATGTGCCCTCCTGCCTAACCTCCCCCCAGGCTGCCTATCCTTAAAGACCTGGGTAAAACGCCACCTTTATCAGGAAACTTTCAGATCCAGAAAGCCTTCCAATGACCCGACTCATGTTTACACAGAGCTCCAGAGCAAGATCAAGCTGACCATGCTGGAAGGAGACATTCTGGATGAGCAGTGCCTGAAGAGAGCCTGCGAGGGCACCTCAGCTGTCATTCACACTGCCGGTATCATTGACATCATGAATGTCATTCACCCGGAGACCATCATGAATGTCAATGTGAAAGGTATAGTATCTTGGGGAGGAGATGGAATGAAGTGGGCAAGTGAGGATGGGAACAGGATCAGGAAGGGAGAGAAGCCCGCATCACTGAACACCTGCTGAGCGCTGCACCAAGAGCTTTTGCTTAGCACCGCAAACTAAGAGACTCACGGCTGTCATCCTCAGCTTTTTAAATGAGGAGACTAGGGCTAAGAAAGGCTAAGTAACTTATTCAAGGCCCCATGGGTAGAAGGGAGAGCTAGAATCTAAACCCACACCTGTGGGACTCCAAAGGGCAAGAAAACTCTCTCTACTGCTGCTCCAATCAAGCCTTGACTCAACTCCAACCTCAAATTCCTGATATCCAACCACCTCCTGCCTCTTCTGGGCTGGAGCCAGACCTTACAGGCACCTCTTAGCCATCATTTTAGCCCTTCTGTGTGGCTCTAAGGTGGTGGTCACACAGTAAGGCCAAGAATGAAGAGCTCTGTGATATGTGGTGCCCCCCAGTCAGTCACGAGCAATGGGTCACAGCTCTGGGATGGCTTCCTCCAGGCAGGACTCCCTACAAGGATCGCCAAGGGTAATGAGAACACCTAGAGACTTCCTGCTCATCTGAAAGAAGGATTTCTCTCAAGGGAACTAGAAATGCTGGTTCATAGTGGTCTGGCAGTACAGAATTACCCAGCACTTTCCTTCTCGTAATATTTTCTTAACAATAATAGTTTCCCATTATCCATAACAACATCTCTTCAGCTCAACACTGGGTCTACTAGTAAAGAGCAGCTCCTAGCTGGGTGCCCAGAGTGCACCCTCCTTAGATCCTCATCCCATAAATGCCTGGTGGCTCTTTCTGAATTGAGGCTTTGCAATCTACTTTAAATTTAGACACATTTGCTCAAGGGATTAGCTTAAATCCTTTTTAGCTTGCCATGTAATCTCATCACTCTGATCCCTGGAGGCCAGTCTCCCTAGTACCACAGCACCCAACCCCCAAGCCCATCAGTCTTCCATGCCCTGCTCTACAAAGTTAGTCTACTCAGAGACTCCTTTTCTAAAGCAGCTCCTCGCTTTTGGGTTTCCAGCCTAAAATAGCACAATCTCAACAAAAGCCCTTTCTAGTGTCTACTTAGCCACACCCCTAACCAACCCCACACTCCCAGGAGCGTGCTAAGATTAACCAGTTTTTAGTTTTTAGTCCCTTTCTCACAATTCTTACTCTCCACAGCTCCCAACAGAAGTGGATTTGAAAACCCTGAGAAGTGTTAGAAGCATCAGTTGACTAAAACCAATATGACTCCCAGATTTATAAAATACTTCACAAGGATGGTCATTTGCCCCCTCCACAGGCAAATTAACTCCAAATTTTCTCTGCTTCTAGATTTAATTTTAAAAAAACAAAACAAAACAAAAAATGAGGCTGTCTCTCCCGAAAATAAAATTTCACAAAGACCTTAAAAGGAATAAAAAAAATAAAAAATAATAATGATGCTTTGCCCAGGAAACTCCTTCTTTCTTGTAGGCAAAGCACTTTGCATTACCTCCATGAGCTACAAATTTCTAGCCAGCTAAGTTCTACAAGATCTTCCAATTATAGGTATTACCACCAGAGGGCGCACTCCTCTTTCCAGTTCTCCACTAGGCTCAACGTGCAAGGCCAGGGCAGGACTCCAGAATGCTAAGTAAAAGGAAGGTTTATCACCTCTGCTTTTCACATCTGGGTAAACGGAGTCAAAGCGGGAATTAGGAGTGGTTTTTGTAGAGAACGCACAATCAGGAGCAGAGCCTGGATCTCCAGCTTCTCCCCAGAACCCACTAATCATTTGCTCAGTAACTCTCAAACAAGGTCCTTGTTAAAAAGTGGTTATTCGTCCTCAAAAAAGAGAAAAATACAAACAATTCAACGTTTATTTAAGAGTGTATATTACCCATATACAACTGTGTGTGTGAGAGATGTGAGTACTTCAACCACCCTCTTTTACCTAAAGACTAGGACTGTCCTTATTTTGAGAGTATGGCTTCCTAATTTTTTTATTTAAAATAATCTGTCTTTAATGAGGTGGTAGGAATGATAAATGATAATTTGTGTGTGTGTGTGTGTGTGAGGAAGATCAGCCCTGTGCTAACATCTGCCAATCCTCCTCTTTTTTTTGCTGAGGAAGACTGGCCCTAGGCTAACATCCGTACCCATTTTCCTCTACTTTATATGGGACACCGCCACAGCATGGCTTGCCAAGCGATGTGTTGGTGCGTGCCCGGGATCCGAACCAGCGAATCCCAGGCCACCGCAGTGGAGTGCACACACTTAACCGCTTGCACCACCGGGCCGGCCCCCCAATGATAATTTTTTAATGTCCTCACTTGGCAAGATATAAAGTGGCAATTCTATGTCCTTTTTCCAAAACTAAAAGTACACACGTGGGTCCATGATATCCAAAAACCTAGAAATTATTGCTTTTGAGAACCCAAATGCCAGTCTCTTCCCATTTTTGTGTTTTTCCTATGGCTATAGCATGGTGAGATCTCAGCCAGAGTCATAGAGGAACACACTCCTGATCTGCAATAACCACCACACTTGCTGGGGTTTGGTTGGCCCTTTGGGTTATTTCCTGATACTGACAGTGTGCTATCCTGGGCAGGTACCAAGCTCCTTTTGGAGGCCTGTGCCCAGGCTAGTGTGCCGATCTTCATCCATACCAGCTCCTTAATGGTGGCTGGGCCCAACTCCTACAGGGAGATCATCCAGAATGGCCACGAAGAAGAGCATCTTGAAACAACATGGTCCTCTCCATACCCATACAGCAAAAAGCTTGCTGAGAAGGCGGTGCTGGCAGCCAATGGGTGGACTCTTAAAAATGGTGGCACCTTATACACCTGTGCCTTAAGGCCCATGTTTATCTATGGGGAAGGAAGCCCATTCCTTTATTACCATATGAATAAGGCCCTGAAGAACAATGGCATCCTGGAACACAATAGCAGGTTCTCCACAGCCAACCCAGTCTATGTTGGCAATGTGGCCTGGGCCCACATTATGGCCTTGAGGGCCCTGCGGGACCCCAAGAAGGCCCCAAGCATCCAAGGACAATTCTACTACATCTCAGATGACACACCTCACCAAAGCTATGATGACCTCAATTACACTTTGAGCAAAAAATGGGGCTTCTGCCTTGATTCCAGAATGAGCCTTCCCCTGTTTCTGAAGTACTGGCTTGCCTTCCTGCTGGAAATAGTGAGCTTCCTGCTCAGTCCAATTTACAACTATCACCCTCCCTTCGACCGCCAGCTACTGACACTGTTAAATAGTGAGTTTACCTTCTCCTATAAGAAAGCTCAGCGAGATATGGGGTATGAGCCACTCTTCAGCTGGGAGGAAGCCAAGCAGAGAACCATGGAGTGGGTTGCCTCCGTGATAGAACCACATATGGAGACCCTGAAAACAAAGACTCACTGATCTGCGGGTGACATGGATGTAGATGTGGGTATTGCTGGGAGATGTCTGCCAAGCTCTCCCCTTCTGGCTTCATGCAGAAAGTACCACGAGCATGAGCCCAGGCCCTACTGCCTCCTTTTCACAAGATGGCCATTTTATTGTCTTCCTCCTGCCACCAGAAACCTTCCCAGTCACTGGCCCAACCAGAACCTTCTGCCCTACCCACCTTCCAGAGGACAGAGAAGGTGATTTGCTGCAGTTGCTGATACCAAAGTCTTAGTTGCTGATTCTGAGCTCTTCGGGCCTCTTTTAACTTAGAGTTTTGCCTATTAGTTCCATTTCCTTTATTAAATGCAAAAGCATTTCTCATCTTTTAAAAATTCCTATTCCTTCACACAGCTCAATGAAAAGAATAATAAATGTTTTAATGCCTAATCTGGGGGAAGCTGTGGTTTATGTGAATACATACCTTCCTCCTTTCCCCTCCATTTCCAGGTATCACCATCTCCTATTTAGAAAAGCAGCATGGAACTGGGGTGGGCAGAAGTGTCCAGAACGGGGAAACTGAGATCGACTAAGCACCTACTATGTTTCAGGCATATACTAGATAACCGACATAGATCACTTCCTTTAACCCACACCGGAAACCTATGAGGTAGGGACTACTATTCCCCTTTATCAATAAGGAAACTTATTCACGGTCACCCTAACTGGTAAATGACCAGGCAATTTAACCCAGATAGACTGACTTGAAAGCCTTTCTCTTTCCACTGAATTATGCAGCCTGAACTGCCTAAAATTTACAGGAAAAGAAGGTGGGGGCGGGTGGCTGGGTTTGTCAGTGGTGCAGCAGAGCACTGGTGCTGATCCTTGGGAAAGCCCAGCTCCCTTGGGTCACCTGCTTCTTGCCCAGTCCTGTGCAGGAGACTCCCTAGAACCCAGGAGACCCCCTGAGTGGCGTCTGGGAGGGTTTGCGTGCGCTTGCCAGATGGCCAGGGCAGGGGAGAGAGAAGCAGAGATGCGGCCAGCCTCCACCGCCAATGCCAGTGTCCGTGAAGTCCTCCAGGACACACCTGGATACGCGTGTGTCGGCCACTCTGGCAATTCAGAAGCCTGTATTCCAACTTTTCAAATCACACGATGAAGCCACACCATTGGTTCCTGGGAAAGTAAAGGGAACAGGTGTGAATTCCCCTGAAAATTTATCTCATACTCAGTCCAAAAAGTAGAGTCCACTCCCCCACATTTCCAGACTTAACTCCTTCTCCTCCCTTCCTCCTCTTCCCCATCTCTCCCTTACACTGCATGCTTTCTTCCTTCATCCCCCTCCTCCTGAGCCTCTCCTTTTGCTCCACATTCCCCTCAATCACTGGCCTGCTTATCCTTCTCAGTTCCCCTAAGGAGAGGAGGCCCATCAAGAGACGCTTGGGGATTTAAATGATGACACAGTCATTAACTGAACAGAGGACCAACAATCAAAGGAAACACTGTCAGGGCCCACAAGGACCGTGTGACCCGAAGCAGGTGAGGAGGTGGCTGTGGGGTGTGAGGGTGGGGAGGCGAGAGCTGCCTCCCTCTAGACCCGGTGTCCCCTGTCTTTATGAACCACAGCCGCGACAAAGAGCCACACCCCAACATCAAGATAGCCTCTTTCCTACCCAGAGAATGGATTATGAATTCTGTTGAATTTGATTGCCACAAAGCAGATCATTTAAACATTCACTCTTAAGGAGAAAGGGAAAAAACATTCTGGACCAGATGAACAGGCTTCCATCACCTTCAAACTCCCACGGGTCAGAGGATCAGTACCCAGGCATCAGAGTGGAGTGGCCCCAGGGGTGGGGTAAGGAGAGAAAGGAAACACTCCCTTCCTTCCTTCCTCCACTGCACAGAACACAAGAGGCAGCACCTGCCCAGCTCTTGTCAGGTGCGCACACCTTCATATGTTTATGCCAAGAGCGAAGGATGGAAAAGAGGGTGGTGGAGTCTGGGAGGAGGGCCCTCAGGCGCCTTGTTTGCCTAGTGAAATCTCACACCTATAAACCCACTAGGGCACTTCTCACAGGGAAGGGAAGGGGTATTGTCTCCAAAGGGCAAGGGGGGAACGGTGAGCAGAGAAAGAGGAGAGGGATCTGACCAGCTGGCGGTCTCAACTGAATAAGCATAAAGGCCTCGGAATGTTTCGGCCAACAAAGCCGGCCATCCTTACGCTAGGCACAGAACTGACCGCGCGGGGAGGTCCGAACTGTGCACACAAGCCCAGGGTGCACCGCAAGGGAAGCACCGCACGGGGGCGGCAGAGGCTGGGAGGGAAGAAGGAAGCCGCCCGGCCCGCACCTGCCCTCCGCCCACCCCGTGACTGCGCAGAGCGCGCGCTCAATGAGCGAATGACAGCACAGGTAAGTGCCCAGCCCCCGGGTTAAGCGCTACGGCTACGGATACAAAAGTCCAGAGAATGGAGCTGAGCTGAAGTGATTGGGAAAAGCCTCATGGAGCCGGTGGGACCTCAGCCAGGCCTTGAAGGATGGATGGGACTTGTGTAGGAGAGTGAGGTGGTCCAGGCAGGGGGGGAGTCTGAGCAGTGGTGCTGAGAAGAGGGCGAAGTGTGGAGGTGGGACGGGGGGGAGGGGGAGTGAGGAGGCTGGCCTGCCGGGTGAGAAAGGTTTCCCCAGGGGAGATTGGGTAACTTAGGGCACCCGACTTTGCTGTGGACTTGATGAGGCAGGCCTCAGAGGGCCCACATGGATCTGGCAAGCGGATGAATGGCCTGGTGAAGGACCGGCAGAAAAGCCGCAGAGGGCCTGAAGGGGAGGGAGGGGGTGAGGTGGATAGGAAGGCCCGCCAGATCAGCTGTTGTAGAAACCCAGAGATCCTGTCTTTCCCAACTATATAATTCCCAATTGCTTTATTACCAAACAGACCAACAACAAGAACAAACGCTGACCTCACAATTTGTCCTCTCATAAGTAAGCCCAAATATCCAAGAAAGAGCCAAAGGCTGGGAAGAGGGGCAGGGCAGCTCCAGAATTGGGACTAGCCTCCTCATCCACGAGGGCCTGACTCTAGGCAGCCCCGACCACCCTGAAATATAGGAAGCTATTCAAGTCTGTGTCACACTTCATGTGAATATCCATGCTTTTTTCCGTAGAAATTTCAATGTGTTTAATCACGAGATGCTGGCCCAGATCCTACTGGGGGTGTTATGTAATATATGATATACTTACTTATTACCTTATTAAAATCCAAAAGAAATCTGAATTCCAAAACACATCTAGCCTCAAGGGTTTTAGATAAAAGAGTGTGGACCTCTAGCAACAAAATTATTTGCCAGGTATTGCTCTAAACACTTTATATAATAATCTTCAAACAGCACTCAAAAGTAGATACTCTTATTATCCTCATTTGACATATGAGGAAGTGGAGGCACAGAGAGGTAAATAACTTGCTCAAGGTTATCCAGCTAGTTAGTGGTTCAGTTCCAATAATAAAAAAGCTTTTTGACTTCAAAGAGTTTACATGATGGCAAACTCACATGCCTGCAGGAGCCACAGACTCATATACAAATGAAGCAGCCTGGGGCTAAGAGACCTTAGGGAGTAGTGGGGAGTGTGGTGTGCTGGAGAGCACATATTCTGCCTCCTGGAGGTAGCAGCTATGGAACCCCTGCTGATTCATGTTGAAATGTATTCCAAGTTACCAAATCTTCTGAATCTTCTAGAAAAGCAAAACCTTCCTGATTTTTATGTGAAACCTCTTAATTTCTAAACATTGGCAACTAATTCTAAATTTTAAAAACAGTGTGAAGACCAGCTCCGGGAATGGGATGTGTGGGTTAGTGCTCAAATTGTATATGTAATATTTTATTTCTTAAAAAGTGGGTTAGGGGGCTGGCCTGGTGGTGTAGCAGTTAAGTTCATGTGCTCTGCTTTGGCAGCCCAGGGTTCACCGTTCAGATCCTGGGCGCAGACCTAGGCACTGCTCATCAAGCCATGCTGTGGCGGTGTCCCACATAGAGGATCTAGAAGGACAAACAACTATGACATGCAACTATCTACTGGGGCTTTGGGGAGAAAAAAAGGAAAAAAAAGGAAGATCGGTAACAGATGTTAGCTCAGGACCAATCTTCCTCAAAAAAAAAAAAGTGGGCGGTGAATTGTTATTCTGTTCATTCTTAGTGATAGGTCCCAAGTATACATTATGTCATATTCTGTACTTTTCTGTATATTTGATATAGATCATATGTGTGCGTGAGGAAGATTACCCTGAGCTAACATCCAATGCCAATCCTCCTCTTTTTACTGAAGAAGGATTGTATCCATGCCCATCTCCCTGCCACCAAAGCATGACTTGACAAGCGGTGCGTCAGTCCGTGCCCGGGATCCGAACCTGTGAACCCTGGGCCGCTGAAGCGGAGCATGTGAACTTAACCGCTATGCCAGCGGGCCGGCCTCTAGATCATAATTTTTTAAATAAATTAATTTTGATGGAAAAAAAAAGCGCAAACTAACAAAACACATCTGCAGGGTGGAACCAGGCCTAAGTCTTCCAGGTTTCAATCTCTACTCCTGGTCTAGTGGGGGAGAAAAAATATGAGACGTGGTAGGTACTGTACACAGTAAAATGTGCTAAGTGCCATAAAAACGTGAGTGCTTCTGGAGGATCCAGTCTGGGTAGGGCACTCAACGGAGCCCTTCCGTGTGGGCTGGATATTGAGAGATGGGGAGGATTTCAACAGGCAGAAATGTCGGGGGACGTCTTCTAGGCAGAGGAAACAGAGTTTGCAAAGACAGAGGAAAGAAAAGTCATTTTCAGGCAACTATGAGACCAGTGTGGACAGACCAGAGAGCACAGGTGCAGGCGAGAATGGAAGACACACCTGGAAAGACATCATGGGAAAAGACCAGGGTCACCTTGGGTCACCTCTAGGAGATGCTCTGCCTCCTCCCTTCTTTCCCCTCAGAGCAGGAATTCCATTCCCCTTCTAAACACCATTTGACATTTAACTACTTCACATGTAATATGCCTCATCTTCTCTGGAAAATTAGACTCTTTCAGGGAAAAGAGGCTGTCTCCATGTCCCCCCCTAGCAACAAATATTAACAGTTAGGCTAAAGAACTTGGAGATTATTCAATATGCAATTGGAAACCGTTGAAGGTCCTTCTTCAGCTGTCCCTGGAAGATGACTTGGACAGCAGTGTGTAGGATGGATTGGAAGAGATTAAGAGGATACTTCAAGAATCTAGGCAAGAAATAAAGGCCTGATTTATGAGCATTAACAAAATGGGATGCAGGGGGCAGCTGAGGCCAGCCTGAGGCAGAATGGACACTACTTTAGGAGATGCTTGAGTGGGGTCACAGCACCCCTATGCACCTACTTTCTCAAGCCAGAAACATGGATGGCATCCCACACACACACTCTCCCTCCAGCCTATCA